TTTCTTTTTGAGACAGGGTCTCTCTGTAGCCCCACCTGTCCTGGAACTCACTATGTAGACCAGGCTGGCCTCGAACTCACAGAGATCTGCCTGCCTCTGCCTCCCAAGTGCTAGGACTAAAGGCGTGCGCCACCACGCCCAGCTTGTTTTTCTTTTACAATTACCTTGTAGCTGGCATGGTGGCGTGTATTTGTATTGTCAGCTACTGCAGAGGCTGAGGGCTGAGGAGGGAGGATCACTTGAGCCCAGGAGCTTGAGGTCAGCCTTGGCAACAGAGCAGGACTGTCTCAAAACCAACTTTTTTTTTATGGTTATATCATTTATTGTAGGGCATAAATCCATATTTGTTCAGCTTATTATTTAGCAAAGCACAGTTATTGTTGTTTTTCAGATAAGCCTGTTCCTTAACAATAGCCAAAATAACCAGAAATGCATGCTTGTTTACCACTATTGCTAAGGAAATTCATGGCAAAAATTTAAAATCAAAATATAAGCATATTTTACAACATTGAGAGTGTTGCTCAGAATAGATTAAAGGCCCTGGTGCAATTCCCATCATTTGCTTATAAAAATGCAAATAAACAAACATTTGTTTAACTTGTAATGAATTGAGTGTGAGATGTAACAACTACAGACATCAAAAACCATTTAACTTGTTACCAGCACTTCAGCCCTTCCCACAAGCCCCACACTGGGCTTTGCACTTCTCTCTCAGGGTAGCGTTTTCAGTTTATAAGGCCACAGTTTAATTCATGTTTTGTTTGTTTGGTTTTTCCTTTTTGTACTGCTGGTATTGAACCAAGGCCTCACATAGCTGATCAACACTCTACCACAGAGCTTGAATTCCCAGTCTAGGTTATGACGCTTTTTAAACTTTACAAAAATGGAAAGAGGTAGTCTGTAATATTTTGGTTTTAGCTTCTTTCATTTAGGGTTTCATTTATGAGTCATGAATGATTTTTGAAGACTAGTGTTTACATTAGAGGAGTGCATTACAGTTTATCCATTCTTCTGCTGAGGGACATTTGATTGTATCTGCCAAGGGCTCACAAGGGTACAGTGGGTATAAAACTCATAAATGTCTTTTGGTGGATACACATGTACACACGCACACACATGTATGTATGTATTTTGAGGCATACCTATGAATAAAATGTCTGGCATAGCAAGTTCATGCTCAGCTTTCTAAGGTACTACCAAATGGTTTTCTAAAATAGTTGAACCATGGGCTGAAGAGATGGCTCAGAGGTTAAGAGTGTTTCTTGATCTTCCAAAGGACCTAAATTTGGTTCCCAACACCCACATTGAACAGCTCACAACTGCTTGTAACTCCAGGGAATCTGATGCTCTCTTCTGGCCTCTGCAGGCACCAGCACACACATGACATATACTCATGTGGACATGCACACATACACATGCATATAAATGAAAATAAATCTTTTAAAGTAGTGAACCAGTTTCCACTTCTAACAGCAGTATATGTGACTTACAGGTTGTCTACATCCTTAGCTATCCTTGGGATCTTTTCTGTCTTATTTTAGCTATTTTGATGGGTATGTGGTAATACTTCCTTTTGATTCTTTTTTTCCCTGGTGATTAAAGGGGAGGCCCTTATTTATTTTTGAGACAGGGACTCACTATGTTGCTGACGCTGTCATCAAATGCCTGGACTCAACTCCTTAGTACCTTGAACCACAGCTATGTGCTACTGCCTCTGGCTGCCAAGTCACCTTAGATTTTGTCTTAAAAAGTTTTTAAATGCCAGGCATGGTGGCGCACGCCTTTAATCCCAGCATTCGGGAGGCAGAGGCAGGTGGATCCCTGTGAGTTCAAGGGCAGCCTGGTCTACATAGTGAGTTCTAGGACAGCTGGAGCTACAGAGAGACCCTGTCTCAAAAAGACCAAAAAAAATAAAAGTTTTAAAATGTGTATTTATTTTGCATGTGCGTGTATGCACGTGAGTGTGTGCACCCAATAGCACACATGTGGAGGTTAGAGGACAACTTGCACGAGTGGTTCTTATGTTATGCCATGTGGATCCCAAGGATCAAACTCAGGTCATCGGGCTCAGAGACAGAGACTTTTGCTTGTTGAGACCATCTTGCAGGCCCTAGATACTGTATTTTGTAGAAGTGTATGCGAGGGAGACAAATAGGTATTAAAGCCCAGGAGTCAGACCTAATGTGGCTCCCCCTATCCTTCCCCCATTTTCTGTGTAACCTGGGCAGGTTATTTCCTCATGTCCAAGGTGAAGATGAAAAGAGAAATGATGGGCAGGGGCTGGGGAGATGGCTCAGTGGGCAAAATGATTATTGCACAAGCACGAGGACCTGAGTTTGAGTCCTGGTAATCCACATAAAGCTGGGGGGGAGCGTACATGTACACCTGTAATCTCAGAGCTCCTCTGGTGAGATGGGGGGGCTGAGACAGAATCCTCAGATTGCAAGTCAACTAGCCTGGTGTACACAGTGGCAAGACAAAAGGGACTCTGTTTCAAACAAGGTAGATGACAAATACCAACACCTGAAGTTGGCCTCTGACTTCCATAAGTGTGTCATGGCAGGGTTGTGGGACACAGCTGCACTTAGTGGGGAGTTGACTCCAGACTTGGTGTCCTTGGAGTGAGTGAGGGTCTCCTCAAGATTATTTCCGCAGAAACTGGCAGGAGTATTATCTATGGCCTTAGAGAAGGCAGGTGGGCTCCACAAACATTTTCTCTCAGGCATGGGAGTGACCAACTGATAAGGAGTGAGCAGAGCCAGGCCTCTAATCTATAGCCATTAGGTCACTGGGGGAACTTTGGACTTTACAATTTAAAGCCAGATGATCAGTTGTATAGCCCAGCACCCTACCCTACATGGAGGAAGTAAGTATAAACACTCAAGGGCAACTTGAGCACTCCTGAAATAAGGTAGAGAGAGAAATGACTAAGGGACCAGGTACAGAGAGATGGGCCCAACAGAACAGAGCCCATGAAGGCCTGGGATTGCTGTTTGGCCTGGGAGGCACGCCCTCCTCTAGCTAGCTGGGGCTGGGTGTTGGGGATCATGCTAAGCCGACAACAGATACCACCATAGTCCTTTTAAAAAGACCACCACATCCCTGGCCCTATCAGGTCTTCAAGGTCAGCCTCAAGGGTTGCCGTTGTATACATTTGTCTCAAATGCACCTGGGCTGATTCTCATTTGTACTTGAGAGCCACTGGGTCTGCAATGTCTATGGGATCAGTAGTATGGCCAAACTAAATAAATGCTCTCTGCTCACCATGTAGGAACCCACAGTGAGCCACGGACTGGTCCCCTCATTCTTGTGGTGTGGAGAGGGGGGACTTACTGCTCTGCTCTTACCAAGGGCTCTCACAATTATTGTGACTTATTTAAGTGCTAAGAGAAATATAGCAATAAGGAATATTGGGCACTATCTTCAAGTTTTGCAAAATTGTCACATTCTACCATATTTCATATTTGTTTGAAAAAAAATAATGGATATACTGTCATTCAAGAGGTTGAGGCAAGAAGACCACAATTTGAGGTCAGCTTCAGATACATAGTGAGACCCTATCTCAAAAAAAATAATACACAGGCCGGGCATGGTGGCACACGCCTTTAATCCCAGCACTTGGGAACCAGAAGGAGGCAGATCTTTCTGAGTTCGAGGCCAGCCTGGTCTACATAGTGAGTTCCAGGACAGCTGGGGCTACAGGGAGACCCTGTCTCAAAAAGACAAAAACAAAACAAACAAACAAAAACAGCAACATCAAGCTGGGCATGGTGGCACATGCCTTTAATCCTAGCACTTGGGAGGTAGAGGCAAGAGGATCTCTGTGAGATTAAGGTCAGCCTGGTTTCCATAGAGAGTTTCAGGCCAGCTGCTACAGGGAAACCCGGTCTCAAACAATAGCAACAGCAACTAAAACAATGCATCATAGAGACAGTCCAAGTACCCCATTAATCTCTTCCCACACAGTACCCTTTTTCTTGTCCTCCCTTGAGCCATTAATAATTTGGTGACTCTATCCAAACAAGTATTTAGAATTTACCATAGACTATATATATGTGTATATATATGCATATATATAACCTTGCTTTGCATAGTTTAAGTCTGTGTTAAGTGGATCTTACTGTATCTATCCATTAAAAATACTTGAGCTGGGCATGGTGGTGTAAGCCTTTAATCCCAGAATTTGGGAGGCAGAGCTCTGTAAATTTGAGGCCAGCCTGCTCTACACAGTGAGTTCCAGACCAGTCAGGGCTACATAGTGGTGAGACCCTGTCTCACCCCCCCAAATACTCCCCAAAATTAATATTACAATTTAAAAATTATTGTTGTATATGTGTATATGGTGTTTATGTGTGTGTGTGTGTGTGATGTATGCGTGTGAGTACAGGTACTTGTGTGCTATAGCATGTGTGTGGAGGGCAGAGGACAACTTTCCTGAGTTGGTTTTCACCATCTTCCTTGTTGAGACAGGGTCTCCCTTGTCTCTGCTGCCGCACTGCATATTCCAGACTAGCTGGCCCACAGACTTCTGGGTAATTCTTCTGTCTCTGCCTCCCATTTTACTTCAGGGGTGCCGGGATTGCAGATGTATGCCGCCACCTCCAGCTTTTTTACATAGATTCCAGGGTTAGAATTCAGGTCAATAGGACTGTAGAAGTGTCTTTACCTGCTGAGTCATCTCGCTGGCCCTAATGTTATGATTTTAAAATATTGTATCATGGGTTCTATTTATTACAACCATTGTGCTCTTTTGACATTTGGGTGTATCATGGCATGTTTCCACTTCTGGACTGCAGAAGGACTGAGCAATGAGCACCTCTGCACAAGTGTTTCTGGTCCATAAAGGGACCCACCCCTGCCAGAGGTTCTGCAGGGGAGGATGATGCTGGTCTCAGACTATACATATCTGCCTTTAGCTTTGCAGGGTATTGGAGTGACTTCACAGCCCACCCTCCCCCAGCCAGCGAGAGGGCCAGTGGCATCCTTGCCAGTAGCCCAATTGTGTGCTGTGATAGCTCACTGTTGTGTGGTGTTGCCTATATTTATGACCAGTGAACATCTTGTCTCTGCTTGACACCATCTCAGGCTCCTCTCTGCCCAGTGCCTCTGGGGAGCTGGGGTCCATTCTGCTTATCAGTTCTTTTTCCACTTATTAATTTGAAGGAGTGTTTCATTTATCCCAGATCCTGAGTCTTTATGGATTACCTGCATTGCTAATACCATTTCCCTCAACTCTTTGGGGAGTGTGATGTTGATGAGGTCCAGAATCACCTGGGGCGGGGGGGATTATCTCGAGTAGGCTAATTGAGGTGGGAGGCCTCATCCACTGTGGGTAACGCCACGTCCTAGGCTCAGATCCTGGAGAAAAGGAGGCAGTGAGCTGAGTGCAGCATTCATCACTTTCTGCTTCTTGGCTGTGGATGTGATGTGCCAGCTGCCTCAAGCTCCTGCCGCTGTGACTTCCCTGGAAAGATGGAGTACACCTGGAACTGTCAGCCAAAATAAACCCTTCCTTCCTTCGATTGCTTTTGTCAGAGTCTTCTATCACAACAACAGGAAAGTAACTCTGACAGGGAGCTTCTTATTGTTTGTTCACTCATTCACTGGCTCTGCAGGTCTTCGTTTAATGGTTAGTTTCATCTGTCTTTCTTTGGCTGGGGGAGTTGCTACATAGGAAAATTCTATTTGTCTTGAGCTCTTGAAGATAGTTGCCGTATTTTCTACCGAATTTTTACTTTTCAGTTAGCTTGCAGTGGTAGTGCCTGGAATGGAGCTTTGTCTGTGTTTCTAGACCTTGCCGATCCGACATTGCCAGGCTTCTGAAAGCTCTGGGTGTTCTGGGTTCTGTTGGCCACTCCCTATCTCCCTGCAGACATTTCTGTAATCCGAATAAGAGGAACAGAGGTCACTTATGGTGACAGGCCCAGCCAGCACAAGTTTTTCTGGGGGACTTGTACTGAGTTCTAGCTCTTTTTTATAAAAAAAATTTTTATTATTTTTATTTTATGTGTATGAGTGCATTGCCTGCATGTGTGCGAGTGCTCCCGTGTCGTGCAGTGCTGCAGAGGTCAGAAGAGGGCTTTGGATCCCCTGGAACTGGAGTTAAGGATAGTTCGTAGCTGCCATGTGGGTGTTGGGAATCGAAACTGAGTCCTCTGCAAGAGCAGTCACTGCCTACAACTGCTGGGCAGTCTCTCCAGCCCCTGAGTTCTAGCTCTTTATCACAGGACTTGGGGAGTGCAGCTTGTCTGTCAAGTCTCCAGAAGGGAGGTCTGAGCAGCCTGGTGGAAGGATTGGCAGCAAGGGCTGGGACTGGGGGCAGGGGGATGACTGGACAAATGGACAGAGGGGAGGCAGAATGGTAGGTACCCCAGAAAGTCTGGGATCACTCTGGTGTTGTGTCTTTTGGGTTCACTGGTGTGGGCTGTGCCTCATCTGGTGTACTAGCTGGGCTTCTGGGTGTGGCACGGACCTCTACTTCATTAACCGTCTGATCAATATATGACTTTAGGCAGTAGGTAATTGGTGAGAACCTGGCTTTCATCATGTTTAGTTTAACAGGGTGCTCAGCATATGCTCTGGGTTTCTTGCCCATGTCCACACTGGAACATTTTTGTTTTCGTAGCACCTTTAGTGCCTGCTTCTACCATGGCCCCTTGGTGCCTGGTCTCTAGAGCACCTTACAACTGGCCAGTATTGGTTAGCAGGTGAGTGAGTGGAAGGGTTTTCTTTTTGAATCTGTACAGCTCTCAAGGTCTGACTTGTTCTCGGAATAGCCAGCAGGGGGTGCTCTAGGATAGAGGCCTGTCCCCACAGGGCCCTGGTCCATTCCTTCCAAGGCTGGCTCCTTCTGTCCTAAGATGGTGCCCTGTCATGAAAAGAGAAACCAAGACTGAAGAGAAAAATGCCACCAAGAAGCTGCCAGGCCAGCCTCCCAACATCTGGGCCTTGCGTGCCCACTCAGGTCCTCTTTTGTTTCAGGCATCAACTGGGTACCCTTGTGAGTCTGGCCTGGTCTTTTCCCATGTCACTTCCTATTTTTGTGCCTTTCAGATGCTGACCCAGCTCTAATGACAGTGGTAGACTCTACCGTGTCCCTGACCCTGATGGGTGAAACCTAGGCTTGGGTCAGGCCCTGGTGGTGGAGGTAGGTACCCTTAGTAACCAGAGAAGAGTACCAGTCAGGCCTACAGGGGCCTCCATCTGTGGAAAACTGCTCCCTGGCTTCAGAAAGCACTAGGCCTTGGTTTTGGAGGGGGGGGGGGGCAGTGGGCAGTATAGGGAGATAGCCGCATGCAATTTTTTAAAAAGACTTTTTTTTTTTACTTTATGTGTATATGTGTGTTTCTGTGTATGGGGGAGGTATGTGTACATGAGTACAGGTGCCCACAGAGGCCAAAAGAGGGAGTTGGAGCCCTTGGAACTGGAGTTATGGGTGGTTGTGAGCCACCTAGCCTGGGGGCGAGGAATTGGACTTGTCCTTGGGAAGAGCCACTTCTGCAGCCCCTGCATGCAGTTTTCATCCCAGCCATGTTGAAGCACTGCAGGGAAAAGGGTCCCATCCATGCCCTTGGCTTCACAGTTCTTGGTGGGCAGGTGTTCCTGTCCCTGACCTTAGCTGGGATGATGTCTATCTACAGACACTGCTTCTTTGGTTTCCAGACTGCTATATGTCTTCCCCTCTCTATTTCCTCCTTTCCCCTACCCCAGTAGAGAGACCCTTTCCCAGTCTGGCCCTGTCGAGACTGGCAGAACCTAGTTTACCACCTCTCTTGGGGTAGGCAGTACTTCTCAGATCTTTCCATGAGGTTTTCATAGTATTCTCAAAGGTTTGAGATGCCCATTACCAATGGAATCACAGGGACTGGATCCTCCAGGGTACACTGTGGCACCTGGTCTGGGAACTACCCCAGTACTGAAGCTCGTTGTTAGGAGCATAAGTGAGATGAATCACTCAGGGTGCCATCCAGCCTCTGGAGGCCTCTCATCCTCATCATGCAATACAGCCCTCCCTGGTACTTGCTGCTGTGCCAGCTGGGCCCACACTCTATGTCCATTTGTCCTGGATGACTGGCATTGTATAGAGCCTGGAAAGATGGTATACAGTCCTTTAGGATTATAGCCCAGCCAAGTCATTTGTCACACTGTCTGGTGGTGAGACATTTTCCCTTCTTAGGGTCCCTGCTACCTCTTTGTGTGTGTCAAAGCCAGTGATCAACCTCAGGTGTTGTTCCTCAGTGGCCATCCACCTTGTCTTTTCAGACAGGGACTCTCACTGGGATCTGGGCCTTGCCAATTAGATCAATCTGGTTGGCCAGCAAGCACCAGGGATATTCCTGTCTCTACCTCCCCAGTGCTAGGATTACAAGCACACATCTGCGTTTCACCTGAGTGCTTGGAAATTGAACTCAGGTCTCATGGTTTAGTAAGCTCTTTACCAACTGAGCCTTCTCCCCAGTACCTGCATTCTCTTCAGTCAAGCAGAATCAATGATCTCAGCTTCTTAGGACTGTGGAGCACACTGCAGTTGCTTAGGCAGCAGCCAGCATTACTGTCACCGTTGCCTCAGTGACTGCACCAACTACTGAGGAAGATAGCAATCCATGATGGTGGTGTCTCCTTGTTACCAGCTTTCTACCTATGGCCTCTGTAAGTCCTGGCACCCATTTCCCTGGCTAAGGCTGGCCATGGGTATTTACCTTATAGGCCTCTCCTGAGACTCTTAGTTCAGTATTGTATCCTGGAGGGAAAGAGGTAGGATAGACAGGGCCTTGCAGTGAGATGAGTCAGTGAATTTGCATATACTTGGTGGAATTTGCCTATACTGCCCTAGAGTGGGTGGTGTAGGAGGCAGAGAGTGGAGAGGCAGAGGACTTCCAGCCAGGATAGACCCTGAGGGATGGGTAGATCTAGGAATGTGAGGATGGAGAGCAAGAGAAAACTGGCACACATAAACTGCAGTGGACAGCCAGAGTTCAGCACCAGGCTCAGCATGGGAGTCTGGGGAGAGTATGATGGTTGATATTGTCAATGTGACAGGATCTAGAGTCTCCTAGAAGACAAGTCTCTGGGCATGCTTGTAAAGGTTAATATAGATTAGGTTAGCCACTGTGCATGCCTGTGAAGGACTATCTAGATTAACTGAGGTGGGAAGACCTACCTACCTGTGAGCAGCACCCTTTCATAAACGGGGATCTAGACTGAGTAAGATTCAGTGGGCTGTAGCATTCATCTGTTTCTGCTTCCTGATGGGGTATAATGTAACCAACTGTCTGAAGTTGCTGTTTCTGTGACTTCTGTGCCATGGCGGCTGGTAGCTTCGAATTGTGAGACGAAATCATTCCTTCCTTAAATTGCTTTTGTCAGATACTTTAATCAGAGCACCAAGACAAGTAACTAGTATGGTAGAGGGGGATCGTGAGAAGGGGCACATGGGGCTCTAGAGAAAGCCATTTCCTGGGGAAGGCCTCCTTTGATCTTCATGCCCATCAGGAAGGAAGGTAGAAGCCTTCTATTTTCTTCTGCTGTGTATTTTTAGGTAAAAGATACTCACAGTTGGCATTAAAAGCACAAAGTAAGTCTCAACGATTTATAGTCACACATTATACCTTCTTAAATAAAAGCCCCATTGGGTTCTTGCTGTTGGTGATGTGGGAATGTGTGAAGGAAATCTCCATATGCGTTTGATGGAGGAGGGTGGGCCAGGGAACCAGGTCTGTGTGTCTGTATTGGAGCACACATGTACATGGCTGTGTGTATGCCTGTGCATGTGTGTCTGTTATTCTACACTCATGGCTCTGTTTGGGATTCTGTTTGGAGAAGGCAGTTGCAGGATGGTTCCATGCTACCCCTGGGTTCCTGTCCCATCAGGGTGCAGGACAGGATGAAGACACTTTTCTCTGTTCTTCCCAAAGAGTCATGTATTTATTTCCCTGACGAGAGGAAATCAGATTGCTTCCTGACTGTGACCTTAGTTTTCCTCATCTGTAAACTGGCAACCTGCATAGGTGGGGTGTATTAACATCATTTATAAGGAGTCAGACTTTGCACTTGAAGCAGGCCGTTGGTGGGCACAGCTCCTTGACTTCTATCAGCACAGTTCCACCACTCTAAGAGCTCCAAACACACAAGCCAGTTGGGGGAGCAGTGAGTCCCTGAGGCCCTTCAGGATCTGCCTGTACTACTTTTGGGGTTAGAAGGGCAGATTCTTCCCAATGCAGGGACTTCCTGTGCTTTGGGGAAATACCCTTAGAGATAGTATCTGTGGGGTCCCAACAATGGTGCAAACTGGGCCAGTGGAAGGTGGGCCCTTGTGTGCAGCAAAAGGTGGTCAGCACCATCATCACCCCTAAACTTCTACCCCTGAGGCCACAGGGGCCCAACCAGTCTCCTTTATGAAGCTGTGCCCCCTTCTTTTGAGACTACTTTTGACATTCATTTCAACATGACTTCACCTGTATGTGCAGACATGGGGGAGGGGTGGAGGAACCTTTGTGTGGAAGGTGTCTCAGCACCAAGTTCAGCCATGTACATAACACACAGGAACGAGGTATGGCTCCATTCAGGGTATTTTATTTTCTTAAAGTAGACACTCTTTGACTTTCATATGCTTAGCAGCTCCTCTCTCTTCCTCTGTACATCTTTCCAACTCCTTGGCTGTGATTCTGCACACTGACCTTGGACACATGGGTACCAAACAAAGGTCTGAAAGAGGAGATTTGGCAAGGGCTTTAGTGGTGCCTCCTTCCCAGCAGCACGAATTCCTGGTCATACACAGTCAAGGTCCTTTCAAGGCTAATGCCTGTGGACCCTGGAGCAGGAAGGCCCAGGGTGCACAGTCCCAGCAGGGCCTCCCTCAGGCCACAACTCTGGCTGTGCCTTCACAGGAGTCGGAGCAGCAGCCAACCCATCTCAGGCTTTGGAGTATGTGGGGACTGGGGAGCTCCATCTCTTGCCTCCCCTTCCTTCATTTGGCAAAGCCACAGATAATGTACACTTTAAATACCAAGACGTTTAGCTATTGTTCATTTGCTCCTAGGTGAAGAACCTTCTTTAAATACATCACATTTATTTTTCTTAAATAAAAACAAAGCAGAAAACCGCACCAATAACAAGAGGACGTGGCAGAGGCTTATGTACATGTATCCCACGAGGCTGGCGCAGGAGTGCCATTTGCCCCAGAATTCTTTGGAGCAGAGGAACAGAATCATCAGGTAACAACTTTTACACTCAGCAAGCCAGACACAAAAAGGACCACCTGAAATGAAAAATGTTTTGAAAATCTGCATTTAAAAAAGAATATTCAATCACATCTGAAATTGTCTGTAGTTTTCTTTTTCTGCGAAACACTAAATTTGGCCAAAAAAAAGTAAAATAATAATAATAACTAAAAAAAAAAGATGCTAGAGAAGAAAAACCAGGTTTCCATTTATAAAACATCAGACCAGTAGAAGAAAAGCTAGAAACCCAGCTGGCCTAGTTTGAAATAAATCGTGCCACTCATTTTCTTGTGTTAATTTCTGCTGCATACTTTGAAGCTGTTTAAAAATAAGAGCCCTAAATGGCTGGAGGTCTGGTTAGTACCATCACTTGGCTCTTCACGTCCTGTCTGTGTCCAGGATGAATGTGGTGCAGAGTGGCTGAGTTTGGTGTGGCCAGCAGAGAAGGTGCAGTCCCTGCTCTGAGCCTCACTCTTGGTCAGTGGCAAGGTCCCCAGTCCAGAGCTTAGGTGGTGAGCTGGCCTCCTTCCAGGCAATGAGCACAGCTGGCCGGACCTGGGCCGAGTCCTGCAGCCTCTCCCCAGCAGTCCAATGTGGACCCCCATGCACAGTGGGGCCAACTCAGGAAGGCAGAGTAAAGGGGCAGGATGGCCTTGGAGTGAACTTGTGACAGCAGCTTCTCAAGTCTTTAAGAGACTTGACACTTTGGAGAACTTTGCCATCTCCAGATGTGCGTGTGCATGTGTGTGTGCATGTCTACATACCTAGCAATCTATCCATATATATTTATGTTTGCAGAAACATGGGGCCAAGAAGGCAGAGGCTGAGGGGTGGGGACATATTCTTCAAGCCCCGTTTTCTGCTCCTGGGTTGGGCCTCTCTAGCATGAGCTGGGGTATGATACCCCGTGGGTTTCACCACAGGCAAATGGGCCATGCCTGGCTCCTCAGCAAAGACCAATGTACTTGAGATTGTTCTGTATAATGACATCTGTCACCGCATCAAAAACAAATTGGATGTTACTGGTGTCGGTGGCGCAGGTAAAGTGGGAGTAGATCTCCTTGGTCTCCTTGTTGCGGTTTAGGTCCTCGAACTGCCGCTGGATATAGACTGCGGCTTCCTCATACGTGTTTTGACCCTTGTACTCTGGGAAGCAGACAGTGAGCGGAATGCGCCGGATCTTCTCTGCCAGCAGGTCCTTCTTGTTCAGGAAGAGGATGAGTGAGGTGTTGATAAACCAGTTGTTGTTGCAGATGGAGTCAAAAAGGCGTAGGCTTTCTGCCATTCGGCTCTAGGGTTGGGAGGGAGGAAGGAAAGTGCTGGTGTTAGTCTAACAGTGAGCATAGAGACCCTAGACCCACAGCCCTGCCAGAGCAGTGTCCTTGGCAGCATCTGCCAGCCTAGTGCTGGTCCTGAGACAGCCTCCTGGCTCTGACTGGGAGTCTTTCCTCTGTCAGGTCAAATCAGTCTTTACCCATTTCCCTCAGAAACAGCTGAACTGACCTCACCCTGAGTATCAAGGGATTTCCTACTCCTTTTGGATCTGTCCTCTGGGCGATGATACTCAGTGGCCTCGACATATGGCTCAAGAGCTGAGGTGGTACCCAGCACGGTCTCTTTGCACCCTGTGGACACAGGACACTCCATACATACCCGAGGACCTGTAGTATTCCAACGCTAGTCCCTGGCCCTCTCCATTCTCATGACAGCTGGTCTTCCATAGGGACCACTATCAGATCATACCTTCTTCAGTGTAAGTGTGGGTTTTGCATAGTCCCCTAAAACCTTTCTTCTGCCACAGAGCACAAGTGGAGGGGCAGCCTGTGCTTCTGTGAGCTGGAAAGTCACTAGCCATGCACCTTGTTCATCTCCCACGCTTGCTGGCTTCAGGGGCTCATCTGCAATGCATGTCTGGCTATGCTGTTTGCCAAAGGCTGCCTTCTGGCCCTACCACCTGGTAGCTAAAACCAAGCTGGCAGGCTTGCATGGCATGCAGAATGAGAGGGTGACATCCCAGGAGTGGACTCTGACCAAGTCATAGAACACAGCATCTGGCCCCTCCCATTCTATGTCTCTCTTCTTTTTGAGAATGTGCAATGTGCCATGGTGACTCTGGGCTTTAGGAAACATGTTTTTGTCTGCCTCCTCACAAAGCAGTCAATTCTTACTTCTTCTAAAACAAACTACTGTTACTACTACCTACTATTGGTGAAAGCTGGCCATCACCAAGATAAATTGAACCAGCCAAGTGTCTAGACAAATCTGAGACCAGTTTTATATCATCATCAATTGAGATACTGGCCATGGGGAGTAAGACGGCATTGACAGTGAAGACACAAGGCACCAGCAGCACCACCAGAGACGACAGTGTTAACAGTGATGAGTGTTGCAGCTGAGCACAAGGTGATGCCTGTGTAACCTTCACACCTTCCTATTTCCATTTACAGATGAAGAAACTGAGGCGTGGAGAGGAAGGAAATGTGCTCCAAGTCCTTCACCAGGAGCTAAGGGCTTGCTGCTCCTGTGTGGCAAGGGGTAAAGGGAAGTGGGAGTCCCAGGAGGATGCCATACAGAAACTCTGCTTTTTGAACCCTATGTTCTCCCAAGTACAGGCTTTGGCAATGCCTCTGCTGAAGGAAGTAGGTGTTGGGGGAGGAAAGGATGCACAGAGATACCTGTTAATACCTTGGGACCCTATGTCTACTTGGGATACTATGTTTTGTAAATCCAGTCTTTAGATTTGATACAATTAATACATAATAACAAATTCTGAAAAGTGAATAGTCCCAGCTTTGGGTATGTGCTAAATTGATCTTTCTGCTGAGAAACAGGAGGCAGGGACCCAAGACCAGCAGTAATAAGCAGGCACCTTTGTGGATAGGACCTGTGATGTTCCCAAGGCATGATCAGTGAGTGGTGGTCTAGGAATTTCACATTCTAGTGGGAGAGTAATTAGCGCTAATGGATTCCTGGAAACTGCACTGTAAAGATGACTGTGGGAATGGAGCTGTCACTTCTCATAGAAATGATGTCATAATTGGAGCCTTTGATTCTGACTCTAAATTTTGTATCAGATATGGCTATTAGCACATATTCGTCAATCCACCGAGCAAGCTTTCTGAGCATGTCCTGAGTGCACGGGAACAGTTCTTATGTCAGATAGAGGCTTCAGAGCTGAGAGCCCTGTGGCTGTGAGAAGACTTAGTAGGGTTACTGGACTCATCTAGGGGTGGACAAGGGGGCTTCCTATGACTTGTAAAGGGGGGTACAAGCACAGAGTTGGGGGTGAGGACCTGGGACTTATTCCTGTAGCCTTGCTGGGTCACTTGAGATGATGGCAGGGGGTGGTTCTTGGAACCAGGTCAGCTCAGTAGTTCTCAGGAAGTGGGATGTTGCTAAAAGGAGGGGCAGCAGACTGCATAAATGTGCTGTGGTAGTACACAATTTTGGGAAGAGCTCAGCTGAAAAGCCATCTAGGGAACCAACCTTAGGTGGCAGTGGATGGGGCCAACAGACCTCATGGACTGACTCATCTCTGAGACCACCTCAGCTACTCTTCCTATTGTCTAAGCTGCCCTGATGTACCTGGACTCCTTTCCAACCCTCTTTGTCTGAAGTCTCTCAACAGGCTTTGGTGACCCTGAATGAACCTTGCATGCATGACTCAGAGATCACAGAAACTCAGGCACCTAGCTCACAAGGTGGCAGAGGGGGCAGGACCAGGTATCTGGGGGAGCTTAGGACTCTCCTTCATCTCAGGCCCATCCTCACACCCCAAGCTCCTCTTTCACTGCTGTAATTTCAAGCTCAGGTTTCCTTGTGGCATCTCTATTCTTTGGAGACTACAGAACCACACTGGCCATCATTTAGCAGGCTCTTGGGAGATGCCATACCTCAAAGAATAACACCTGTCCTCCTGGTCCCATCTCCTGGGAGCTGCCTGGCAGGACTGAGACTGGCTGCACAGGCATTGGCTTGTAGACTTGCTACTTGTAGACTTGCAGAGATACGGAGTCTCAAGAGTGAGGGCAGTCCCTGAGCTAGCCATTTCTTTCTGTCTCTCTGTCCCCCAAACCCTTGCCACTGGGTGTGTCCACCCTGTGTATGGGCACTGTACTGCTGGGAGGTAGATGTGGACACCTGCCCTGGCATAAAATCAGGATGGCTGGTCAGAAGGCCCAGCATAGTGAGATTTGCATGACCACATGCCTTCTCAATGTGAGGACCTGGAAAATGAGGCAGGAACTCTCTCCTACCTTGAATTAATCTCTACTAAAGACCTGTGGCTCTCACAGGTGGTGGTAGGCCAAAGAACCACGGGCCTTCACAGTCAGGATCCTGCCTGGAAGAAGTTGACCAGAGGATCCTGGCCAGGGAGGGGTCTTGCACTTGGCTCTGACCAACATTAGACGTGACGGTGGGAACTTTTCCCCTGACCCAGTACCCAGCCTGGTCTATGTACACCCATGGCTGTCTCTAGGTTTTAGAGCTAGTTTCACAGGGATGCCTACACTCTTGCAGTTTCACATGTAGAAATATGGAAGTGTGGCATCCTGGTACCTCAAATCACAAATTACAACCATTGAAGGAACTCTGCTATCTTGGGCTGTAACTCTAGAAACCAAGTATGCAAGTTTGAGACTGGGAGGGCTGAAGCTTACCTTTTGCCTGGCCTCCTAGCCCCCACTATAGCATCTCTTTCCATTTGTGCTCTGCTCCCTGTGAGGGGCTTCACTCCAGGCCCCTTCCTCTGGGAAGCAGCCTACCTCCCTATACCATGTCTGAGCTCCTAGGCAGTCTGTGTGGGGTCCTACTTTTCCACCTGTTTTCTATTTCTGCCTGTTTGGTGGCATAGGTCAGAGCTGCTCCTAGAGGTGGTATGGAGGGTTTGGGCACCATCCATTTGGCCAGAATCTGGTTGTCTGACTGACTTCCCCTGTCTGGTGGTAACAACCCCATTTGTCTTGACACTTTTTCTTTTCCTTTTTTTGAGACAGGGTCTCCCTGTAGCCCCAGCTGGCCCAGAACTTGCTATGTAGACCAGGCTGGCCTTGAACTCACAAAGATCCACCTGCCTCTGCCTCCCAAGTGCTGGGATCAATCTTTTTGATCCTGGAATTGGTGGAACTATAGGAGCAAGCCATGACCACTGACAGGGTGAGGTGTGGAAAAGCTTTCCATTTCACACCTGGACCAAGGCCTAGGGTGGAGCTGCCATGCCAGGGCTCAGTAGAGAACCTTGTCTTCCATCAGCTATAATGTTCTCTTCTGGCAAGAAATATCCCTCTTGTCTTTACCTCTCCAGCTGCTAATGACACAGCCACTGTGGAAGTGCTGTGGTCAATAGTTGCTCTGATGCCAGCCAGGGCTCTGATGCCCACTCAGCTCTCTGGAGGAACCTCTCATCAGGGAAATGGCATCCTCTAGGAGGCTGGAGTTCATCTGCACATTCATTTATATAAATAACACAGAGCAGATGATTCCCGACAGAAGCCTGTGCAATGCGGGTATCTTGCTGCTTGTTGGTGGGAAACCAGGGATTTGTAACAAGGCAAGTCAGCCACAGCAAGGCTGGGTAACAGTCCCTGGGGTGAAGGCAGTGTTTAGACAGATCCAAATTACTCAATGCCATGGAATCTCTTTTACCTCAGGGTGGTGCTTGCCTGCATCTTGGATTCTTCACCATGGGGTGGTGGTGGTGGTGGCTTATGGCTTATTATGGGGCTTCATGTTGGTCTGAGAATCTGGGAGACCTCATCCCTAGCACAGCTTCCAGGTGCCAGCACCTATGGTGAACAAACCAGGACTGGATCCTGGAATGGTATTCTGGGGTAGCCAAGAGGCAGGTGAACTGAGGAACAGAGAAGCCTGTCAGTTTGCCCTTTGGCTCCCATTCCATATACCTGGTGTCACAAAGTGGCATATATCCCTGGTTATACACACAAGGTCTGGAGCTGACTTTCAGTATTACCCCCCTGTAGCATCCCTATCTCTTGATTGAGTTTCTGAGTATAACATTTGGACCTCCATACTGGCCACCTCCAAGTTACACTGTTCCTTCAACTCTCCTGCATTCCAGTGTTCCACATGGGTCAGCCCCACCACTCAGAACACCCCTCAGTCCTTTGCTTGTCACTATGGGCAAGATGCTGACTTCTTAGGGCCTCATGCCCCTAATCTGTGATGAGAGGATGTGGACAGCAACCCCCAAATGTGAGAATTTTAACCAAGCAAACAATGTACATACATAGAACATGGTGAGCATGTGATAAAATTTGGCAACTGTTCTAC